GCCTACGGGGGAGGGCGATGCGGGGGAGGGATGCACGACCCATGAGGAGGTGGACGCGTGTAGGGGTAGACATGTGCGCAGGGGTGGGCGTGGGATGGACACGGGTAGCGGTACGCACGTGTGCAGGGCTGCACATGGGATGGACACGGGTAGGGGTACACGCGTGCGCAGGGGTGCACATGGGATGGACGTGTAGGGGTGTACAGGAGGTGCACATGGGGTAGATGTGTAGGGGTACACACATGTACAGGGGGTGCACATGGGATGGACACGTGTAGGGGTACACACGTGCACAGGGGTGCACATGGGATGGACGTGTAGGGGTGCACATGGGATGGATGTGTAGAGGTGTATAGTGGGTGCACATGGGATGGACACGGGTAGGGATACACACAGGTACAGGGGGGCACATGGGAACACGTGTAGGGCTACACACGTGTGCAGGGGTGCACATGGGATGGACGTGTAGGGGTGTATAGAGGGTGCACATGGGATGGACACATATAGGGGTACACACGTGTACAGGGGGTGCACATGGGATGGACACGTGCAGGGGTACATGCGTGTACAGGGAGTGCACATGGGATGGACATGTGTAGGGGTACACACGTATACAAGAGGTGCACACGGGATGGACGTGTGTAGGGGTACGCACGTGTACAGAAGGTGCACATGGGATGGACACATGTAGGGGTACACACATGTACAGGGGGTGCACATGGGATGGACATGTGTAGGGGTACACACGTGTACAAGGGGTGCACATGGGATGGACACATGTAGGGGTACACACGTGTACAGAAGGTGCACATGGGATGGACACATGTAGGGGTACACACATGTACAGGGGGTGCACATGGGATGGACATGTGTAGGGGTACACACGTGTACAGGGGGTGCACACAGGATGGACACGTGTAGGGGTACACGCGTGTACAGGGGGTGCACACAGGACGGACACGTGTAGGGGATGCCCCCACGGAATACGCAGGAATAGGGGTGCACGTGGGATGGACACGGGGCGTGGAAACGCACGTGTGTAGGGGACACGTGTACAGGACGCACACGCGTGTGC